TTACTCAGGAGGCTGAGGCAGGAGAGTGGTTTGAGCCAGGGAGATCAAGGAAGTGAGCTATGATGGCCCCACTGCACGCCAGCTTGGGTGACAAAGTGAGACCCTATAGCAAAAACAAAAACAAAAAACCAACAAACCTCCTTGTTAGCATCATGGCAAGTAAAAAAGAAAAGAAAATAAAAATAGAAATAAACTGAACATGGTGGCTCATGTCTGCAATCCTAGCACTTTGGAAAGCTGAGATGGGAGGATTGCTTGAGGGCTGGAGTTCAAGACCGGCTTGGGCAACATGGTGAGAGAGACCTCATCTCTACAAAAGAATCTTTAAAAATAAAAAAGAAATAATTTGCCGGGCACGGTGACTCACACCTGTAATACCAGCATTTTGGGAGGCTGAGGCGAGCAGATCACGAGGTTAGGAGTTCAAGATAAGCCTGGCCAATGTGGTGAAACCCCGTCTCTACTAAAAAATACAAAAATTAGCCGGGCATGATGGCGTGCGCCTGTAGTCCCAGCTATTCGGTAGGCTGAGGCAGGAGAATTGCTGGAACCTGGGAGGCAGAGGTTGTAGTGAGCCAAGAGATGGAGCCACTGCACTCCAGCCTGGGCAACAAGGCAAGACTCCATCTCAAAAAAAAAAGAAAAAGAAAAAGAATCTAAAAAATATTTAAAGAAAATAAAAAATAAACAAAAATCAAGATCACAGAAAGTGATGGAACACAGATTTGAACTCCTGGTCTGACTCCAGGACCATTTAACCATTCTACTATTGGGCTATATCTTGGCTAAGTTAAAAAGTTAGTTACTTTCTTTTTTCTTTCTTTTTTTTTTTTTGAGATGGAGTTTCGCTCGTTACCCAGGCTGGAGTGCAATGGGGCGATCTCAGCTCACTGCAACCTCCGCCTCCTGGGTTCGGGCAATTCTCCTGCCTCAGCCTCCTGAGTAGCTGGGATTACAGGCACGTGCCACCATGNAGTAGCTGGGATTACAGGCACGTGCCACCATGCCCAGCTAATTTTTTGTATTTTTAGTAGAGACGGGGTTTCACCATGTTGACCAGGATGGTCTCGATCTCTTAACCTCGTGATCCACCCGCCTTAGCCTCCCAAAGTGCTGGGATTACAGGCGTGAGCCACCGTGCCCAGCATGGTCTGGATCTCTTGACCTCGTGATCCACCCGCCTCGGCCTCCCAAAGTGCTGGGATTATAGGCATGAGCCACCGCGCCCGGCTTTGTTACTTTCTTGAGTGATAAAGACCAGAGGGGTGGCAGGGAAGATAGTTACTAAAAAAAAAAAAAAAAAAAAAAACTGGCACCAAACTAAATATCCATCACTAGTTGAATAGCAAAATAAGTTGTGGTAAATTCATATAATGGAATACTATGTAGCCATGAAAATGTACTACAACTACAGAAATCAACAGGGAGGAATTTCTACACTTAAATATTGAGCAGGTAGTCAGGTACAGTGGCTCATGCCTGTAATCCCAATACTTTGGGAGACCAAGACAGGAGGATTACTTGAGCTCAAGAGTTTGAGACCAACCTGGCCAACATAGTGAGACTCCATCTCTATTTTTTTAAATGAAATTTTAAAATTTTTGAGGAGGAAAGCAAACAAGGGATACTTGCAATATGATTACATTTACATAAACTCAAAGTGAGGCAAAATCATACAATACATTGTTTAGAAATACATAAATACACTGCAAACCTAAATGAGACTCGAGAATGAGTAATATAAAATTCAGAACAGTGGCTTCCTCTAGAGGAAGTGACAAGACATTGAGATTAGGGAGGAGTTCACAGAGTGCTTCAAGGAGTTGGTTACATTCATTTTTCTTTTTTCTTTTTTTGAGACGGAGTTTCGTTCTCTTTGTTGCCCAGGCTGGAATGCCATGGAGTGATCTTGGTTCACCGCAACCTCCACGTCTTGAGTTCAAGCAATTCTCCTGCCTCGGCCTCCCAAGTAGCTGGGACTACAAGTGCCTACCACCACGCCTGGCTAATTTTTGTATTTTTAGTAGAGATGGGGTTTCACCATATTGGCCAGGCTGGTCTTGAACTCCTGACATTGTGATCCACCTGCCTCGACCTCCCAAACATTCATTTTTCTTAAACGAAATGCTGCTTATTGTTTCTCTTAAATTGCACAGTTAAGTAATATACTTCTTGTTTACATAATATATGTATACACGTAATAGATTTTATACAAGTACTGTGAGGTTCGAAAGACAGAAGTCAAGTTTTCTGGTGGGAGTTCAGCAATTGAATCAGATTTTATTTTATTTATTTATTTTTTTTGGACAGAGTTTTGCTCTTGTTGCCCAGGCTGGAGTGCAATGGAACAATCTCGGCTCGCTGCAACTTCTGCCTCCTGGGTTCAAGCGATTCTCCTGCCTCGGGCTCTTGAGTAGCTGGAATTACAGGTGCCCGGTACAACGTCCAGCTAAGTTTTCTTGTATTTTTGGTAGAGATGGGGTTTCACCATGTTGGCCAGGTTGGTCTTGAACACCTGACCACAGGTGATTTGACTACCTCGGCCTCCCAAAGTACTGGGATTACAGGCATGAACCACCACACCCGGCCTAACTTTTGTATTTTTGTATTTTTAGTATAGAGGTTTTGCCATGTTGGCCAGGCTGGTCTGGAATTCCTGACTTCAGGTGATCCGCTCACCTTGGCTACCAAAGTGCTGGGATTACAAGTGTCAGCCACCGCATCCAGCAGAAAGAGGACGTTTCAGAATGAAGAACTAGCATAAGCACAGAGAAGGGGAAGCAAAGCGGGAAACAGGGAGTAGGTCATTTTTGCAATAGTCTGCAATATTTGTAGGGCATTATTGGTGGGAAATAATTAAGTAAAGTTGGCTGTGGCTCACGCCTGTAATCTCAGCACTTTGGGAGGCTCAGGCGGGCAGATTGCTTGAGCCCAGGAATTTGAGACCAGCCTGGGCAACATAGCAAGACCCTGTCTCAACAAAAAAGTAAAAAAAGTAGCTGCGAGGCTACTTAACCCCAAGATTCTGGAGAGAAAAAAAACAAAAAAGAAAAAAGAATAAAAAAAGAGAGAAAAGGAAAAAAAAAAAAAGTAGCTTTGGGTGCAATGGGATGGCTCACGCTTGTAATCCCACCACTTTGGAAGGCCCAGGCAGTTGGATTGCTTAAGCCCAGGAGTTGGAGACCAGCCTGGGCAACATGGTGAAACCCTGGCTCTATAAAGAATCTAAAAATTAGTTGAGCATGGTAGCGTGTGCCTGTGGTCCCAGCTACTCGGGAGGCTGAGGGGGAAGGACCACCTGAGTCAGGAAGGTGTAGGTTGCAGTGAGCCACGTTGTTTGTGCCACTGCACTCCAGCCTGGGTGATAGAGTGAGACCCTGTCTCAAAAAATAAAAAAAAAATAAAGCTGTGGCAGAATGCGGAGATTCTTGGAAGCTAGAAGCTCTCATGGGGCATTTGTAAATCTCACACTACAAATAAGTCTTTGTATCAGTTAGGCTTCCTTAGTTTTAGGAAACAAGAAATAATTATAGCTAACTTAAGTGAAAAGAGAAAGAGAAGAGAAAAAAGATGTGGAGACAGAGAGAGAGAGGAAAAGACAAAAGGAGGGGAGAGGAAAAGGAGAGAGAAGAGAGAAATAGATTGATTAGTGTATTGGTTACATAACCAAGTGACCAGTCAGGAACCCAGCAGCTCTGGGGTGCTCAATGTGATGCATTCATCAACCCACTCTTAAGAGCACTTGATTCCAGCTACCTTTTTATTCAGTGTGTCTCCAGCTAAGATTCTAGGTCCCCGGAGAGTCTGACTGACCTAGTGTTTGTTTCCACCTTTGTGGCCTGGGTTCTGTGCTTGCAGCTCATTAGAATACAGGGAGCAAAGACAAGCAGGTAGTTTCCCAAAGGAAGGGATGCTGAGTACATTAAAAAAAAAAAAAAAAGTGTGGATTTTTCAGTAAATTATGGGATGGTTACTACGTAAAACCTAAGATTTCCCTTATTCAAATAAATTACCTTTCAGATTAGACATCTAAACATGCACTAATTTAGTTAAACCCCTGGGTTCGTTGATATGATCACAAGGAGCTAACATTTTCGTTGTTGTTTGCAGTAATCTGAAATTTCTCTCTTCACAATTGCTTTCCTCTCGAATAATTCCCATTTTTCAAAAAAAATTTTTTTTTTTTTTTGAGACGGAGTTTCGCTCTTGTTGCCCAGGCTGGAGTGCAGTGGCGCGATCTCGGCTCACCGCAACCTCCGCCTCCTGGGTTCAGGCAATTCTCCTGCCTCAGCCTCCTGAGTAGCTGGGATTACAGGCATGCGCCACCATGCCCAGCAGATTTTTTGTATTTTTAGTAGAGACGGGGTTTCACTATGTTGACTAGGATGGTCTCGATCTTTTGACCTCGTGATCCACCCGCCTGGGCCTTCCAAAGTGCTGGGATTACAGGCGTGAGCCACCGCGCCCGGCCCATTTTTCAAAATTTTATTTTATTTTTTCTGGAGACCGAGTCTTGTTGTGTCGTCCAGGCGCGATCTCAGCCAACTTGCAGCCTCCGCCTCCCGAGTTCAAGCTATTCCCCTGCCTCAGTCTCCCAAGTAGCTGAGACTACAGGAGCGAGCCCTCCATCACGCCTGGCTAATTTAATTCCCAGATTGATACTCATTGGTTCTGAGATGGGTCAATTATCATTCGGAGAAGACTTAGGTCGACTGGCAGAAAAAGATGAAAGAAATATAAGAAAACGGTGCCACTGAGAGAGGAGCCCTGCGAACCAGCAGAGCGATCGCAAGCCGCAATTCCCCCTTCGGTGGATCGATTACCAAGGCTTCCTGGCAGTAGCTCTCCGGGGCTGCCGACGTGAGTTGAACTGCACATTGGGAACTGTAGTCGAGTGGGGAAGGACAAGGGGCAGGCACCGCACACGCGTACAGGAGCCCAGGTCAACAAAGACGCGCCGTGCGCGCGCGCGCCGGAGAAAAACACGGGAAGACGGACGTGCGCGTGCGCAGCCGCCGCTGGGAGCCACCAGGCGGCGGAGAGGACAGCGGCAAGGAGGGAGGGGCCCAATCCACCGACTGCAGGAGGAGAAGGGGTTGTGCTCCTGGCCGAGGAAGGAGAAAGGGGCGGGGCCGGCGGGCAGCGCGCGGCTGTGCAGAGCTCCTGAGGCCGGCGGGCAGGCGGGGGGTCTGTGGCCCTAGCCGTCGCAGTGGCCGCCGCCGTCACTTGGTCCCCGTCGGTCTGCGGGTGGCGGGTTATGGCGGCGGCGGCAGTGAGAGCTGTGAATGAATTCTCCGGGTGGACGAGGAAAGAAGAAAGGCTCCGGCGGCGCCAGCAGCCCGGTGCCTCCCAGGCCTCCGCCCCCCTGCCTGGCCCCCGCCCCTCCCGCCGCCGGGCGGGCCCCTCCGCCCGAGTCGCCGCATAAGCGGAACCTGTACTACTTCTCCTACCCGCTGTTCGTAGGCTTCGCGCTGCTGCGCTTGGTCGCCTTCCACCTGGGGCTCCTCTTCCTGTGGCTCTGCCAGCGCTTCTCCCGCGCCCTCATGGCAGCCAAGAGGAGCTCCGGGGCCGCACCAGCACCGGCCTCGGCCTCGCCACCGGCGCCTGTGCCGGGCGGCGAGGCCGAGCGCGTCCGAGTCTTCCACAAACAGGCCTTCGAGTACATCTCCATTGCCCTGCGCATCGATGAGGACGAGAAAGGTAACTAGGGGGCTGGGGGAGGGAGCGGCGGCGCAGGGAAGAAGGCGGTGGGGTCGCCGTGGGAGGGCAACACTTGCGTCCCTGTCCTGCGGGAGGGGATGGTGCACCCCCGGAATTGATCTGCCCCGGGAGACTGCATCCCCATAGATCAGAGCCTCATCTAGTATTCTCAGTCAAAATCTCTCCCCTTTCAGGGCGTACTAGCCGTCGACTTTGTTTCAGACACCAGCCTTCCCCCACACTTCTGCATGACCCAAGTCACTGTGAGACACCCAGACATGGTGATGACAGTGACAGTTGTCCTAGAGTGACCACACCGATCCTTTCTTAGCACTGTAAAGAGTGTGAGGCTTCCTCTGAGCCAAGGTTTCCAAAAGGTTTTGATTGTGAAGAAGCAGTGCCTTGTTACTGGCTTTTAATGAAAGCAGGGTACTATAGTGTCAGAAAGAAAGAACAAATGGTGACAGTTTTGAAAGGAATAGCTGCATATGACTGCAGTTGAATTTGTGTCATTTTTATCAAGATAATCATTTTATCTGTACAGTGATTCCTGAATGCTTTTCAGTGTAGTTACATTTAGCATAAAACTTTTCCCCCTGGTTGCTTTGATTTTAATTAAAGCAGTTTTCAAAGATAACCTTTAATTTCCAAGTTGAAATGTTTAATGAATGAATTGCATAAATGTAAACATATCACTTTACAATAAAACCTAAAACATATGTTTCTGAATGAGAGCAAGGATACTACATCCTTAGGGTTTCTTTCTTTTTTTTTTTTAAGACAGAGTTTCACTCTTATCCAGGCCGGAGTGCAATAGCGCGACCTTGGCTCACTGCAACTTCCGCCGCCCGGGTTCAAACGATTCTCCTGCCTCAGCCTCCTGAGTAGCTGGGATTACAGGCATCCGCTACCACGCCCGGCTAATTTTATATTTTTAGTAGAGACGAGGTTTCCCCATGTTGGTCAGGCTGGTCTCCAACTCCTGACTTCAGGTGATCCACCCGCCTTGGCCTCCCAAAGTGCTGGGATTGCAGGCGCACCCGGCCTCATGTTTCTTTTAAGCTAACATTTTTTAGTATATGTGCCAGGCATTGTGCTATTAGCTTTGTATGTGTTATCTTTTTTTTTTTTTTTTGAGACGGAGTTTCACTCTTGTTACCCAGGCTGGAGTGCAATAGCGCGATCTCGGCTCACCGCAACCTCCGCCTCCTGGGTTCAGGCAATTCTCCTGCCTCAGCCTCCTGAGTAGCTGGGATTACAGGCACGTGCCACCATGCCCAGCTAATGTTTTTGTATTTTTAGTAGAGACGGGGTTTCACCATGTTGACCAGAATGGTCTCGATCTCTTGATCTCGTGATCCACCCACCTCGGCCTCCCAAAAGTGCTGGGATTACAGGCTTGAGCCACCGCGCCTGGCCTGTGTTATCTTTTTTTTAAAAAAAATAGGAACTATCCTAGACCATGAAAAGTTATTTAATCCTCACAGTAATGCTGTGAGATGAAGGTGTTATGGGTATCAGCATTTTAGAGGTGAAGAAAATGAGGCTCAAAAGGTAAAGCAGGTCATTCCAAACCTATGCTAATAGTTAATGAAAAATTTTTTATGGAAAATAAGTGAAATAAGGAGAAGTCTCACTTTTACAATTCCCTCCTTTTATCCTTATTTCCGGTATGCTGAGAGCTTGCTTCTCCCTCTGCCTAAGAAACCCACTTTTCTCTCACACCTCAATTAGATGCTCACTTGCATTGTCCATTAATGAAAACGAGAAATCTGCACTTCATTCATAGTCTCTCTCTCTACTACCAACATCAAAAACTGTTCTAGAATTTCAGTCTTGTTGAAACCTATTTTCTTTGTGGGGCCCGGGAGTGGGAAGTAGGATATAGCGAAAGAAGCATGTATTCATGGTTTTGGACAGAGGTCAAGGAGGGAGATAACTTTTAAGAATACTATGTGTTTGTGGAAGGCAATTTTTTATTAACTGCTCCATTCTTTTTTTTTTTTTCCTGAGACACAGTTTCACTCTGTCACCCAGGCTGGAGTGCAGTGGTGTGATCTCAGCTTACTGCAACCTCCGTCTCCCAGATACAAGCAATTCTCCTGCCTCAGTCTCCCAAGTAGCTGGAACTATAGGTGCGCCCCACCACGGCTGGCTAATTTTTTGTATTTTTAGTAGAGACGGGGTTTTACCATGTTGGTCAGACTGGTCACAAACTCCTGACCTCAAGTGATTTGCCTGCCTTGACCTCCCAAAGTGCTCAGATTACGGGTGTGAGCCACCGAGTCCAGCCAGCAAGCTCCATTCTTTATCACCTCTTAGGAACATCCAGGATCCTTTGGAGAGAATGAAAATGGTTGTGATGCTACTGCTGGCTTTAAATAAATAAAAGTCATTGTTTCAACAATGTATAAAAATTAAAAAAAAAAAAGAAAATGGTTGTGACGTTTTAGAATAGAGGAGCATGTTTAAGAGTAGATCATTTTTTGGGCCCGGCAAGGTGGTTCACACCTATAATCCCACCACTTCGGGTAACAGATCAAAACTCTGTCTCAAAAGAAAAAAAAAAAAAAAGAAAATAGTAGATCACTTTTTACTGGGCACCATGGCTCACACCTGTAACTCTAACACTTTGGGAGGCTGAGGTGGGTGGATCGTTTGAGCCCATGAGTTGGGAGTCCAGCCTGGGCAACATAGCGAAACCCTGTCTCTATGAAAAACACAAAAATTAGCTGGGCTCAGTGGCGATGCCTTTAGTCCCAGCTACTTGGGGGGCTGAGGTAGGAGTATCACTTGAGCTCGGGTTGTTCAGGCTGCAGTGAGCTGAGATCACGCAACTGCACTCCCGACTGGGTGACAGGAGTGAGACCCTGTCTCTTAAGATTGTTTTAGTTGTTGTATTTAGGAAGAGAATGTCAGAACATGCAAGGAAATTTTATTTATTTATTTGTTTGTTTGTTTATTTATTTTGAGACGGAGCCTTGCTCTGTTGTCCAGGCTGGAGTGCAGTGGGATGATCTCGGCTCACCACAAGCTCTGCCTCCCAGGTTCAAGTGATTCTCCTGCCTCAGCCTCCCTAATAGCTGGGACTATAGGTACTCACCACCGTGCCCGGGTAATTTTTGTATTTTTTGTAGAGAGGGTGTTTCACAGTGTTGGCCAGGCTGGTCTCAAACTCCTGACCTTGTGATTCGCCTGCCTCAGTCTCCTGAAGTGCTGGGATTACAGGCGTGAACGACCGTGCCCGACCTATTTGTTTATTTATTTATGAGACAGTCACACTCCATTGCCCAGGCTGGAGTGCAGTGGCATGATCTTGGCTCACTGCAACCTCCACCTCCCATATTCAAGGGATTCTCCTACCTCAGCCTCCTGAGCACCTGGGATTACAGGCATATACCACCACGCTCGGCTAATTTTTGTATTTTTTTTTTTTTTGAGACGGAGTTTCGCTCTTGTTCCCCAGGCTGGAGTGCAATGGCG